AGAACTCCCCCAAAATCAACAATTACCGGGCAATCACGGAATAAATATAGTTAGTATAAAAATATGGTAAAAGCTGCGCCAAATTTTTTCTAAAACTTTGAGCGACTCGACAATTACCTTATCAAATTCGATGAAAATTTTTTTTATTTGAAATCTACAGATCTGTAGAATTCAAATAAAAATATTCATTGAATTTTGTAGGGCGGTTGTCGCGCTCAAAGGTTTAGAAAAAATTTGGCACAGCTTATATTTTGATAAAGACGTTTTGATTTTTTTAAAAGTTTGAGCGAAGATATCTCGACAACTACCTTATCAAATTCGATGAAATTTTTTTAATTAAGTTCTAAGAATCTGTAGTATTCAAATAAAAAAAAATTAATTGAATTTGTTAATGTTGTTATTATTCCGCGAATGGTGATCATCGGAAACTGTTAGGGATCGTCGATTTCGTCCAATCAGAATGTGGCAGTTAGAGTAGAATCTAACACGCGATTTTATGAATCATACAAAAAGTTCAGAACTCATTCTAAGTTGTCTGATTTTTCATCTTTAATGGACGAAGCAGAAATCACCCAGTTTTGTGGCTTGTAATTTTTATAATTTATTATTTTTTTCCTTGTTACAAAGCATTATGATATAAAAATTTATTCTTAAAGTCTAATTTTTAATTAGATGTAAACGTGAAATTTCGAAATATACGTGTCCACGATGTAATCTCAAATATTGCTCACTGAATTGTTATAAGCATGATGTATTTACTATTATTATATTATAATTATTATTATTCAGATAGAGTTTAATCAAATTCTATGTTTCTAGACTCACGCCGAATGCACTGAATCATTTTACAAAAATAACATTATGGAAGAGATCAAAAGTCAACGCGTTGATGAAGATGATAAAAAGAAAATGATTGATATGTTAAGAAGGTTTGAACAAGAAAGCGAGGAAATGTCAAGAGAGGCAATGGAAATGGTGGATGAAGGTTTTTTCCCTTTTTTTCTTTTTTTTTTTTTTTTTTGGATTAAA